AGTTCGAGCGTTTTTTAGTTTTATTTCTTATATAGATTTTCTTTTTTTTTTATGTAAATATATGTATAATCGCATTGCTTTTTGCGCAAAGTTTGCACAATAAAATCATATAATCTCGGAAAATTTGTAATTTAAATTGATGTAAAACGAGATAAATTATTGATCCGTCTGTGCTTTTTATAGTGTGCTGTTCTTTTAAAAAAAAATCTACCTTGATATCTTGATGTGCACATAAACCACTTTGCCTGAATATTTCTGAGCTATTCGCCGTGCTAATTTCCAATTTATAGTCGAGATTATCGATTTTACGCCGCTTTTAAAAATATTTTGCAAAATTATTTACAATGACGATAACACAGTAATAATCTTTATACGCGAATGTAATTCCATTCCAAAAACGTTAATTAGAATTAATGGAGATTTAACTCGTTTCTTTCTTGGCGACTAAATATGGAAAAGGAATGGGATATATATTCTTCATTCTGTGTATCTCTATGTTTACAAATAACTTTTGCTTTTTATCTTTATACGCTAAAGTTATTCTGATGAATTTTTCTCCTGCTTGCAAAATTTATCAAAATTGCTGAACCATTAATCGATGTGGTAATATCGACATGTGCTTAAAAAGTGGATTTTCACATCGGGAGATGTTGAATATTAAAATAAAGCGTCATGCATTTAACAGGCGCAGTAATTAAGCATACACAATGTACCGTAACAAAATTCCCCGCTGTTCGTTTAGAATATTGCGAATGGCGAGGTGACGCGCGGCAAATTGTAGGACGCGCCGTGCAAATATAAAATTGCAGATTGCAACACACGTCACGCTGTACAGCCGAATGTGCAAAAATATTTTGACGCTCGTTACAAAATTATCCGGACGCGTTGAACGACGATTAATATTGTAAAAATTCCACGATTTTGATGAAAAAAAAGGTATGTAGTGGTGGTGCGTGTCGCGACAACGATCGGTCATCGAGGCGATTCATTATATACATTTGATGTTTGCGTAATTGCTTTTGCTTTATTATTCCATGGAGAATCGTATTTCGATTACTCTTGGAAACACAATATTCAACAGTCGCTGGTATTTCGTACATGAAATTTTACAGTGACTCCTGTCAGCATATCACTCTGTCGACAATGAGTGTCATTAATATTCATTTTGATGTTCTTTGACTGGTTGTATAAACGCGAAATATTATCTAGTCGATGCAGCCCTTTGGGGAACAAAATCCCCTTTGGGATGCGACGAGAGAAGGAAATTATGGTAATGATAAACGACAAAGTAAATTTTCTTCATCGCGGAAAAATAAATTCTTTTTTTGAATACATACTTTTTTTTATCGTACGTAATAATTATACTAATGCATTACTGTCGTAACGAGTATTTTCCAAAAAGACCTTCAGAAAAGAATTTGTTATTTAAGAATGACGTAGCGCAAACTGGGGAGTTTATGCATTTATGCTAAACGTTCACCGAGAGAATCTCGAAGGGACGGTAGAAATTTGTTCGCGCGCGGAGCAAGAAATCTCTAATGTTGAAACCGGCAAACAATTTTCGCCTTCGCCATGAAGAAGCAGCGGTAAATTCCGGAGGACGGCGTATGGGAATCCAAGGGTCGATATCGCATAAAAACAGCGGATCACAGGAACGCGCGGCAAACTCGCAAGTGGAGAGCTCATAAATAAAAGATATTGCCGGCAAAGAGAGAGAGAGAGAGAGAGAGAGACAGAGAGGGGGGGGGAGCGGACAATTATTCTCGCATAGAACGACTTGTTTCTTGTGTCATCGAATACATTACATCCGGTGTACATTACATGATGTACGCTTACACGTCGCGAGATTCCACTTAACCCCGCGACCGCCGCGCGACGTCTTTGCCCGCCGGCGCAAAAAACTCGGGCGCGCGAGCCGCGGGAGACGATACTACCGAACGAGTGCATATTGCGCCGAAATTATTCTATGCAAATCGCATTATTCCCGCCTCACCGCATTACAACCGACTGTAATGTATTCCGGAGGGGGATTTATGCGGCTTTGCGGAATAATACCTGACTTAACACATTACTACGGGGAGTTGGACGCGACAATAAGAGCCTCGGCGAAGGGGATGAGAGTGCGATCGGTTGTTCTTAGTTCGAGCTATCCCTCGATCTTGAGTTCCGCGCTTCAGGCACCTTCGTAAATATTGCAGGAAACGTTCTTGGTAAAACGAAACTGTTTGTTCGACAAATAGCGTTTTAAAATTGCATATTTTGCGGAAAATTGCAAGTAAAATTATAATCGCTGAATTATGTCAACTATTTGTGTTGCATTTAATTTCGATTATAATTATTTCAATGTGTGTTCCAAGGGATATTACGAAGACCAAAAATAATATAAAAATGTTTTGCGGAGCGCGGCATAAGGATAAATGCAAATTCAATCGTCAGACGGAACTGCGCAATACGCGCTAACTAGATTAACCGGCTGAAGTATAATCTTCTTTACGGCTCGGGGAGCTTAACGACCCACTGTGTACTCAATAATGGCGATACCGATGCCATTAAAAGACGCTTGTCTGCCGACAACCGGCTCTTCGTCGGCCATGGATTTGCATAAAATGATTGGAAATCTCCGACGAGAATGCTCGTTACTCAGCGCGACTTATCGTGCATAATGTCAAATTTCTTCCGTCAATCTAATGTACGGTTTTCTTCGCGCCGACGAAGGAAGGATAACGTCGTTTCTAAAACAATGGCCGGATATAAATAATAATTAGGTGCGTCCCTCTTTTTCTCCTTTTTCCTTCTCTTTCTCTCTCCCTCTCCTCGTGCGCACTTAACGGAAACGGGTAATTACTCTAAGTTTATACCTAATTTCTCCCGAATTAGAGCGGCGCGAGATTACGTTCCAGGTTCGCGCGCACGTTACGCGATATTGTAAACACGCTGATACTTCATCGGGAGTTAACGTCGCGGACATGTACTGCCGCGCGGCGATAAATTAGAACGTAGATTAGAATAGTTAATGCCAGCCCCGTTCGAACGCCAACGTCGCTTATGTTAATAAATCTCGCAATGGTGTTGCGCGCACCGGTGGGATCAAATGCGGACAAAGGGATGGAGAAAGATATCAGACGGAGCTGCGTCTAATCTATCAATAATACCATCAACAATACGTCAGAATTAAATGGAGAAAGTGCGGCGAACTCGACGGTTCCTCGCATACGTGGGAAATATTTTACGTCAAATATAACAGATTCGCCACTTTACAGCATCAATAAAAGGATCCAGGCAAAAAAGAAAAAAAAAACAATACTTTTGGAAGAACGATTCATAAGCGTGAAAAATTATATACATCCGGAATAGAAATTCATGGAATTCCCACGATATAAGCGATTTTTCTCGCCGCATTTCTCTTTCGTCCCTTCCGCCCTGTTCCTTCCGTCGCGGCGCGATATATCTTTCATCTTGTGAGTGGCATTCCAAAGTTTCGACGATGAGTGAGCTGTTCGAGTCCGGATTCATCCGAAATTGCTGTCCCTCGCGCGCAAAATCTTAACCTGAGTCTGCCGACAGTCAATTACCGAGTGGGTGCTGAAATCAGAGTAAATGCCGTCAGCGAGGGTTGGCGGAGGGAGCTCGTGTGACCTCCCGCGCGAAGGACGATGGATGCTTTCCTCGACGGTGGTGGCGGTTTACCAGTTGAAGGCGCCAGGACCAGGACCGGAATTTTCGAACAAAAGAGCGGCGGTCCTGATTTAGTAGCGTGCATAATTTCGTCCTGGTCATAAATTAATATTTCCACCGCTTTGTCCATTCGTCGACCTGCCTGCGGCCGCGGAAGAAAAGGATCTTGATGAATGAAAATCCTTTTACAAATTTTGATGATATATACGAGCGCGCCCGTATAATTTTGACAACAGCCCGAATTTACGCGTTTGCAAATACTTGCTCTCATATTTCGCGCGGATGTGGAATTTGTCGCGCTGTTCATTAGCATATAAATTATATCAAAACTGTAATTATCTCTAGAATATTAATTGAATATCGCTTTTTTAAATTAATTGATAATAGATTGAAATGCAACATAATATTTCGATTCTACGATTATATACAGATACGCGCGCGCGCGCGATGCGATCTATATATGTATTTCTGAGATATATTATGCTTGGAATTTTCTTTTTTCTTGATATGGACTTTCTTTGTTATCTCGATAAAGACGTTCCTTTTTCTACTTCTTTCACTAGTAAATTAGTTCAAGAATGAAATGAGGGACGAAGCTTGTGATAAGCTAAGATAAACTTGTGATAAGCTACGATAAGTTTCACAATTAGTGACGTTAGATAACGTGTAGTGTGTGTTAGATAACGTATAATAGAAACATTTATGAGACAAAATATTTCACATGCTTTCATCTAAAAAAATATTTTTTTTTTAGTACAATACATAATAAAACATTATTAAAAATATTATTCGCAAAATGTAAACAAATATATGAATTATTTTACAATATTTGGTATTTTTCTCTTATTTCGCGGATAATATTTCTACGCATAGCATTTTGTTATATTTCATCAATTCTTGTATCATACAGATTAATTCAAACTGTTGCACACAATTTAACGTAAAATAAACATTTTTCAGACGGAAATATGAATGAAATGCGTTACTTTTTAGTGGATTATTTTCTTCCTCGTCTATTTTTGTTTTTGACAGTTTCACGATATTATTTGTTCAAATTTGCATAAATTATAACCAGCGCATCGAAATTAAAACAAATGTTCTTTTAAGCATCGATTCTAGTCTCAATGAAGGAATTTCATTTATTGTTTGATTATGCTTTAATGAGCAAATGGGAATAATTTCACAATAACCAAAGCTAATTTATATCAATTATAATATGGGGAAGCATTTGAATTATCCAATAATTATCATTTATTTAGTATAGTTAGTGGATATTGTATGTATTGATATAATATTTATTAATATTTTCCGTATATTTGTTGCAGATTAATCGGACTTTTCGAATCGGATTACATTGTATTAGGCTGCACGATTCTTAAGGTGAGAGTTTATAAAATTAACTCTACAAATTTTTCATTTAAATTCCACGCAAATATTCAGCGAAATAAAGACATATGCGTGACGCAAAAGGAAAAAAAATCCGTTGCGGTTGCGGAAATAAACGGTTTCAAATGAAAAAGCGAGGATTAAGAATTTAAGGACGACGGAACTGCATCGCGGAGCGATGTATCGCGATGCAAAGCTGCGAACGTTGAAATTAAACAGTCCTGCTAACAGCTTCGGGGCGCTTCCATCAATTTAGGCTCACCCACCTTTTTTTTTTTATTTGAAACGAATGCCGTTGCGGGCCTGAACAGTACTCGCGGAAATTTAAATGTATGTCGGTGGATATACGCGAATGTGTGTTCCTGTATGTACGCGAAGCTTATCTGCAGATTAGGACTTAAGCCGGGAATGGGGAAAAAATCGCATCGATCGATTATTCGGTCGACATCGCCGTGCGCGAATTAAACAACTTCAATTCAGCGAGCAATTCATTATTGCGAGCGCAATAAAAGCGTAAAATAATTAATTATTTGAAAATTTGCGGTACGAAATCAACGAATGGTCCGCTATGATTATTATAAAGGTATAAACAATGGTAATGACGAGCGTTTTTACGAGCGCTATTCAGAATAATAAGTGTTATGGAATAATTATTCGCGTTCTCTCAGGTAGTTGTATAGTTTCGATGTATTCAATAAATCTAATAAAATGCGCAGTCTCTGTTTCGGAATTCAATATCGCGGCTAAAGCTACGATTGCGCACGTGTAAAATGCGGCAAACTCATAACAACGTTTGCAATGCACGCGGCACAAATTAGGGAAGAATTTCGCCGGTCGGAGATTGTTTGTGTGTAATATCGTTGGTCGATATTTATTGCGTAGAGAGCGCCGAACGAGAGTAAGCGCGATTTCCTAAATTTCCTACGTATATCCTCTTTTTTTTATCGACACATCGATATACTTCACACACAGCAATTGTAAATAACTACGTCGCGACACAAAAAGTTTAGTTTTATACAACTCTGGAAAATTGCTCGATATGAAATATCGGTGTCAAATAAATGGAATATTCTGTATGTCGTTTGACGCGCTGAAATTGGAGATAATAAAATGTTATGAAAAAGGCGAGAGAGCGGGTGATGAGGTGCGTTTGCGAAAATGTTGTCACGCGTAATCAACATTGATCAGACCAGTCCAGTCTGAATTTGTGATAACGCGTATTTCCGTTAATCCGACCCATAGTTGACGTGATCATCAGCGGTGCGCAATTATGGCGAAATTCTCGAGCGCGGTAAACGATTATGAAAAATATACGCGCAAAAATTGATGAGTGAAAGAAAAATATCCCGCACGCATCACACCGATCGCGATGGCGTATTCAGTCGCGGAGGATAATGGAGGACTGATTCGGGAAAGGCTTAAGGATTAAAAATTATTGTTACGTGAACGCCGATTGATGTTGCGAATATCGCGTGAATGTAGAGTGGCCGTTTGGGCACCATTAAACACGACAAGATTTATCACGATTCTTTCTCCATGCGACAGCACG